ACTTTAAAACTAATCACCAGATGATTCAGTTTAAATCTAGTTATACTGGTCAAGAAAGATTGAGAGCTAATATATTCTCTATTATTTAAATGACTATTCTGTGACTAGGACAAAGAAAAGTAGATGAAACAGATTGTCTAATGAATGATGCCTGCTAGCCTCCTCTAATCTTTTGATCTAGAAAAATACATATTGTAAATAAAATTTAAAAAACCAAACTAACCTGAAACTTACAAATTAACCCCAGGTCTCTCTTTTTGAACAGGCACCTGTATAAGAATCCTGCCATGAAAAGTTTTGTATCACTTGACATTTACCTAGAAATCCTTTTTCCTTCAAGTCAGCAACAATTAGGTGCTACTATCAGCCATTCATCAAGAATTGCAGAAGAATGCATTTTTCCTGGAGAAGATGGCTTTGTTTTGCATAGAGCAAGTCAAGGAAAACCAACAGTTGAGAGCAGATGCTTTGAAAATAAATGTCCTTTACTTGTCTCCTCATGAGGCACCTAACGTATGTATTGGTATCACTGTTATGCTACCTGTATCATAGAAACATGAATCTGTGCTGGCCAGATTCTAATAAATAAGCTTCAGTACTGCCCTTTCCTGACAGAGGAAATGGATCATGTAAAGCATTTATATTTGCATGGGAATGTTGCTTAAGTACCATCAAGTGGGTTTGTTCCTACTCACAGTGACCCTGTATAGGGTTTTCAAGGAGCTACTGATGGGTTTAAACAGCCTAATCTTGCATTTAGCAGTCCAGAGCTTCAGTGTCCTTGCAATAGGAATTAACAATATTAATTAATTAGTACACATGCCTCATGAGACAGGCAAAGTTATGGTTGGTGCATTCAGCAAGAGGTGAATATAGAGCAGTCAGTTTTGAATTGCATGAGTTTGTATTTAAACCAATTATAGTAGTCCATTAGCCCTAGCTAATGGAAATGTTTACAGCCTCAGAAAGCCAGTACAGGGTAGCTATAAGTTGGAAAAAACTGCGCGGCACATAACTACAACCACCAATGGAAATGTTATGGAATTAACATGAGATATAAATCTTAGCTCTGGTAGCGTAGTGGTTACGAATCGGGCTGCGAACCTTAAGGTCAGCGGTTCGAAACTACCAGCCGCTCCGCGGGAGAAAGATGAGGCTTTCTACTCCCGTAAAGATTTACACCCTCGGAAACCCTGTACAGGGTCGCTATGGGTCGGACCCGACTCCACGGCACATAACAACAACAACAACATAAATCTTAGAAAAAAATATGTTATCTGGTGCTACCTCAACAGGTACATTTTAAGGAGTCAACTTCAGAGACAGTAGCAAAACCCCTGGAATACAAAACTAGAACAATCATAGGAACTTAATTAACCTTTTCATGGCCCGTGGGGTATATGTTGGTGTTGTTAATGGTAGAAGACTCATAGCAACCCTGTACAGGGTTTCCAAGAAGTAACTGGTGGGTTTGAACAACTGACCTTGGGGTCAGAAGTTCGATGCTTCTCCTACAGCGCCACACCAAGAACCTACTGTGCTCACCTATATTTTCTGCCATTAGCTGACGCAATGACACTTAACAGGGTTTAGTGGGAATGAAGATCTCCATAGAGATGGATTGGCAAAGTGGCAGCATCAATGGGCTCAAGCGTGGCAACAATTGTGAGGTTAGCCCAGGACTGGGCAGTGTTTCGTTCTGTTGTACATAGGGTCGCTATGAGTTGGCACGGATTTGATGGCACCTAACAACAACAACCAAAGTAGGAAAATGATATCCCACATTTAGTGAGTGCTGCCATCTGTTGGGGTCTTGTATAACTGCATAAATCTGAAGAAACTGGCTTTTTCCTCCCACCAGCCCAGCCCTAGTGACTCCTCGGGATATATGTGTTCCACAGATTGTATCAAAATCCATATTATCTCATAAAATTTTCTTTTTCATTTCATTCAAAATGCCTTACATTACTGAAAACAGAGTTTCAACAAAAAATTAAAAACACAATCTAGTCTTCAAAAGGTTAAATGTAAATGGCAGAGGCCATGTACAACATCATTATTTGAAGATCAAGGGAATGAGGTGACAGGTTCATTTGAATAAAATAGGTCAGTTTCAGGTGGAGGAGACTAAGTGTGAAAGTGAAGTCTGAATTTTTTGGATGGAGATCTGCTTTGGTTCCAGTTTATGCGAGATGTTAAGCTTTCATTGTATGCACATTCAATTTCTAAAAGGGGACAGTTAACTAACTTGTAATAGATTTCCCTGCCTGAAGGAAGTTGGTTTCTTTAAAACTTATGATCCTATGTGTTTGTGTTTTGAAATAGTATATTGAAACAAAACTGGTATTTTTTTCTCAATGATTTAACTATCTCAATATCTTTTGCCAATCAAAATCTTAAGACTGGATATCATCAACACCATTCCTTATTAATTCAAGGTTTCATGCAGAAGAAATCAGCAGCCCAAAAGAAAGTGGGAAAAACAGCTGCTGCTGCTCCTCTTATTCTAAGTGCAATTTTAATGCTGAATTGTACAAATATTTTACTTGGTTGTGTGAACAAGTCCACTTTTTCTAAAATCCTTCTCTCAGCCATTGGCACAATCAACAAATTAGGTCACTGGGCAGTGGACTGCAAGGAGAAAAGTGGTTAAAAGCAATCACTTAAGTCAGTTCTATTTAATGTGTAAATGACTTTGATGTCCCTTTAAATTTTTTTTGAAAAAGCACATCAGTCTATTAGACAAAGGTCCACTTCTCAGGAAAAGCAAGGAAAAAATCAGTAATTTTTGCTGAAAATAGATTATGGTCATATCCTAAAATTACATGTTACAGTGACTTGGCATTGAACTGGGCATCCTTAATACAGACTAGTAGAGAATGGCATTTAAATGATACAGTAAAAGTATGAACAATAAGATAACGTTTGAATTGACAACACAAAGGGAGATGAATGAAAAGGCCCTCAGTTGGGCAGCCTAGATCTGAGTTAATGCAATAATCTCTCCCTTTCAACAAGTGTTCCATGAAAATAATAGTGACAACAGTGATTTAAAAAAAAAAATTTCTGGATTGAAATACAAAGTTAAACATGCTTGGCAGAGCATTTATTTTATTGTCAGTTTGTAAGACTGTCTCTGGAGGACTTTGTTCCCAATGGTCAGAAAGCTTTGAAGTCTACTGATTCTAGATGTGTTTATGTTTTCTTTGGTCCTCTTGTAATGTGCTGTGTACTGCACACATCCATCATGGACCATAGACAATTTCCATTCTCACAAGGGACACTAACTTGGGGAGAAATTCTTGCCATTTGAGGCTCTTGCCAAGCAATCTACAAATTGAAAGGAGTCTGGAGACTGTGAACACTATTGGCAACTTATGAAGTATTAGGTCATAAAGAAGCAGTGATGAGGAGCAAGTGGTGCTGACTCTTGCATTTTGTTAGCTGTGATTCTGCATATATATTAATAATGATGCACCCTACAGATGCAATTCCATGTTTATAACACATTGGCCATTGGCAGCATTGTGCACCTGTGTTTCCATGCCTTCCCATCTGCTGCCTACAGTCATTCACATTCAGGTGATGGAAATATTTTATATAAAAGTTAGTCTACACTGTACAAATCAGATCTCTATAGTTCAGCATTAAAAATGAATCTTCTGGGTCAAGGCTACAAGTAGTTTATACCCACCCTTCCCCAGATGAAAAATGCAAGATTCATTTTTCTAGAAAAAGAAATCTTTAGTACTCCCTTGATATTTTATGCATAGATTTTTTGAAACTTTTGACTTATATATTACCTTGTTTCATGTGAGCATTTATCTCTGTATATATATGAAGAAAGGAAAAAGAGAAATTAGAAATACTTAATCAGCTAAAGGAATAGAGTGAGAATGATTTAGAGTCAGAAATACTCCAGGGTGTGGACTCTGCCAAGTACACTCACCCACATTTATTAAGCTCCAGAGCCCCCCTCAGCTTCTCAACCTTTAAAATGTAACCAATGCCAATTACCTATTTGCTTCATAAGTACTTTGTATAAGGCTTAATAAAGCTTTTTATTATGATAAAATCCACAATTCAGAGGATTCTTAATGCTAGAAGGAATCAAACTCTCCTTATTGTCTCTTGTCATTACTTGTCAGTCATCAAGTTCACAGCTTCTTTCATTGGAAATACAATCAGTTTTTACTGTTCAACCCATAAGAAACAAAATCATTAGATCCCTCTTCCTTTATTCTTAGATATTGGGAGCAGAAATGGACACAATACAGAAACTGCATAGTTGCCTAAGGATCACATAGAAAGGCAGGGACTATTCAATCCTCAAAGGGGTCATCCCACTCCCCGTCCATTTTAAGCTTTTCCTAATGCTTTACTACAATATAAAAATCTAATCAACCACTCTTTTATACCTTATTGCTTCTGTACTAGATACAGATTTTCTGTTCACTAAAAATAAGTCAGGGGTGTGTGTTTTCTTTCTTACCATTGCCCAAGGCCCAAGGCCCAAGGCCCACCTTCTAATGAAGTCAGGAAGAACAAATGCTTTTCTGCTACAAGCTTTTAAGAGTTCCCTCTGGTAGGGTAGGATCTTCTAACCCTTCACCCCATCCCCCATACTAGTCTTCACTAGTTCTCCACTGTTCGGAACCTCCATTTCTATACCTTAGTAGGGCATCCACTAAACTCCCAGCTGCTTAAACTTATGGTTTTTCATTTAATCTCCCCAATTCCCCACCTCTCCCTCGCCATCCGTGATCTCCACCTTACGCGTTGCTTTTATCTGAGCATAAAATACTGTATTTTACTTTTCCTGAGGTCCATCTACCTACCACAAACGGATAAGGTGCGATCCTTGAACAAGATCAAAGTTTAAAAGCCCCAAGCCACTCTGGACTTCACAGGGCTCCTTTACTCCTTCCCCACAGCCCCCTCCCTCCTGTCCCGGTCCCTAGCTCCACCCTTCACCACTGCATGCTCCAGACTCCCCTCACCTGACTCTCCCGCGGAAACTCGTGGCGCAAGATGCTGATCACTGGGATGTGTAGGACAGAGCTGACCAAGTCGAGCTCCAGCATCTCGCCTTGGCTCTGGGGGAAGGCGAGCAGCGCCGATACCCCTTGCACCACCACGGTGTGGCACACGCTCTGCAGAAAGGAGAAAGGGTCACTGCTCCAAGGCGAACTAGGGGAGGAGAAGGGCAAGAGAGGCAGATCGCCCAGGCCCGTCTCCATGGCCATCACGATTTCCAAAGACAAATTGTAGGGCAGCAGTCCCTCCACGCGGTTCAGGTTGTCCACGGCGAAGAGGAGAGCGTCCCGCGGCCACAGGGTTTCGGTCTCAGCGTTCTCCCCAGGCTTTCGGGCGGCCGGCGGCCCCCGGCCATACAGGGTGCTCCCCAACCAGCGTGCGCCCGGAGAGGGCGCCGGGGGACGCCACGTCCCGGGCAAGGGCTCATCCCGCTGGGCGCCTGCACGGCTGCCGTCCGGAGCGCGGTTGGCGGCGCCGAGGGCAGTAGTCCAGGGCTGCAGGTGCACCGCGCCCACCCTCACCGCGTGCCCGATACGCTTGAGGATCTGGCAGGGCTGCGGGTGCGAGGAGGAGCTGGGTACCCCGGCCAGCACCAGTGCGCAGGGCGGCGGCAGTAGCAGACAGACCCTGCTCAGCAGCCACCACAAACTCAGTCTCCTCATTACTGAGACCCGCAGGAAGAAAGCGCGCCCCCTTCTGCGCCCTGCTCGCCCCTCGGCAGACGCTGCTGAAGGTCTCCGCCCCCAGGTCCCGCGCGCAGCTCACTAGGCACTGTGAAGCGCTCCCAGGTGCTGGAGTGATCTCCGGACCATCCAAGTTGGAGCTTAGCACGTCCGACGCTGTCTTAGATACCGCTCGTGAGTCCCTCCACCTTTCATCCTCAGCCCGCCCGGTCCCTACTCGGAGGCGGGCGGGCCGGCGCCTGTCACCCGCGGCTTGGGCGCCTGTTCCCTGCCCGCCCCATCTGCAGGGCGCCTCGGGCACTGCGTCCAGTCCGGCGGGGCGGATGGACTGATAAACAGTCGGAGTTCCAAGGGGTCAGCAATGACAGCGAGGGCAACACACTCACTTGGATTATTTTCCTTTCCTTTTTCGCCCAGCGAATCCCACTATTTCCTTGGTGTCGCGTAGAGAGGGCGTTCACGCCCAGGGTACCCGCAAGAAGCAGTCAAATCCGCCTTGATCCAGGGTCCACCACTCTCTCGTGGACCTCCACAGTCCTGGCTTCGTTTTCCTTCTTCCTTCACTACTTCCCTTTTCCTTTTTATTTTTAGTTCTCTTTCTGCTCAGTCGCTGCCGCCGCTAGCTTCCTCGGAGGAGCGACGCAACTGGCCAGCAAAGGGTGGTTCTGCTCCGAGCGCCAAAGTTCTCCCCGCCTCAGCCGGCGCCTTCTCATTGCTGAGTTCTGGCGCCAGCCGGTCGCTTGGCTGCGCTAAACGCCCACGGATGGTGAGATGTCCTGGTGGCGCATTTTGCGCCCCTAGAAAGACTTCTCTCCACTGAGACTAAGTAGTCCTAGTTTGCGAAATTCCCTGCGACGGGAGAGGGCGAGGACCCTGAGCCTCTGAGAATTATGAATTCGGAGTCGCGCCGGAGGAATCTGAAATCAAGTTGTTCGCTGAGACAGGTTCGAAGAAGCTATGACTTTAAGGATCGTCTTTTCAATGTGTTGCTTTAAACGTTTTTCGAGCTAGGGGGATAAAAGCAAGAACCATTTACTCATTTAATTTCCTCGGCTTCCTTTACTCTGTCATATGAGCTTTTGCAATTTTTAAAGGCTCCTCGTGTTTTCAGGTTCTCAGAATTAAAGTCAACTAGAAGCGATGATTTGTATAAGAAATTACAGAGGTTAAAAATTCTTTTAGAGCTTTATATACATTCAACCATGTTGTTGTTAAGTGCCTTTGAGCCGATTCCGACTCATAGCGGCCCGGCATAGGTATTCCAAGGAATGGCAAGTGAGTTTGAACCGCCGACCTGTAGTTCAAACCCACCTTTGGGTCCAGTGTTTATCTTACAGAGTTACACCTTAAGCCCAAAGGCTCCCAGGTGACTAAATTCAGTAAGTTATTTCATTTGCATGGTAATAAAACAGTGAGGTCAGTGGGTCATTTGCGTTTTCCTCCATGATGGGGGTGTTCTGGAATTAAGACAGGAGAGAGTTAAGGACAGATCTATGGTTCCCACACATGCAGTAGATATTTTTTTTCTTGCTCTCATTTAGGAGGATGGGAGGAAGATCTAGGGGCATCAAACATGGGGGATCAGCAATTCTGAATTCCATTCTACTTCAATGGAACCATAATCTTGACAATTTATTTCCCCTGACCTTGCCCAGTTGTTTGGATCTGCTAGCTAGCTCTTAGCTCTAGAGACTTGTTTTGATTCAAGAGTTAATGTTTCCATCATGCTTTAAAGCCTTGGGATAAAAAGGCTCTAAATGCTCTGCCTTCAGGTCTGTTCCAGCTCACAGTGACCCTATGGGGCAGAATAGAACTGCCTCATAGGGTTTCTGAGGTGGTAAATCTTTATGAAAACAGATTGTCACATCTTTGTCCCACTGGTACTTAACCCACTACACCACTAGGACTACTCTTGAAGAGTCTCTAAGTAAAAATCCCAAGAAGTTTGCAAAGTGACTACTGTTTCCCTCAGCACAGACGTTTAAAGCCATTATAGAGGAAAACTTTGAAAACAGTTCTTGAAGGACTTGGTACCAGAAAAGGAAAGATCCCAGTAAATAAATGGAAAGTGACAATTAGAGTTGAGGCTGGACCAGGGGAAGAAAGGGATGCTCTTTCCCTACTTCATGGAGCATCTCCTGCAAGGGAAATAAGTCAGCTACATAACCTATTAGAAAGTCCTCTTGCTACAGAAGATTCTGCTGATTGGGATCCAGATAGAATGTAGAATTCCATGGTCCTTGCATTGCAAGGCAATTGGGAAGCTATTAATTACGTAGTATGGCATTGTTGATGTGCTGGACTGCAAAGTCGGTTTGAACCACAAGGTCGTCAGTTCAAGCTCACCAGCCATTCCTTGGAAACCCTATACAGGGTCACTATGAGTTGGAACTAACTCCAAAGCACTTAACAACAACCTATCTAAATTATAATTATTTGATTATTCCCTCAAATAAAATAAAAAGTCTGTATTGCCTGGTATAGCTCTTTAGGATAAGCATTTGACTATTAACTGCAAGATTAAAAGTTCAAACCCACCAGCTGCCCCTCTGGTTTTATTCTTATGCTAGTAAATATAAAGAAAAAGTTCTTCTCTTCTGTAACTATGTAATTACTTATTCCAAGAAAACCAAATTCATGCCTGGCTACAGATTGTTGTAAAGTGCTGTTGACTTGGTTCCAATTCATAGCAACCTTGTATAGGGTTTCCAGGAAGCAAATAACTGGTGGATTTGAACTGCCAACCTTGCAGGTAACAGTCCAGTGGTTTATTCTACAGTGCCACACTGAGATTCCATCTATAGATTGTTGCTGTTGTTGTTAAGTGCCGTCGAGTTTTTTCCGATTCATGTCGACCCTGTGTAGGGTTTCTGAGGAGTGGCTGGTAAGTTTCAGTTGCTGATCTTGCGGTTCAAGCCAGTCTTAGGGTCGAGTGATTATCCAAAACTGAGGAAATAGTTATTCCAGCTTGTCATAAAAGTATAATAGTTAACTCTTAATAATATTGAGTGAACACTTTCATTCCTGTACTTTCTTTTGTTGCTTCCCTGGTTTCTCCTTTTTGTTACATGATTTTCTTTCAGTCCTCCTCTATTTACAGCCTGATACTCTTTTTACATAGGAGCTCTGGTAGTGTAGTGGTTACGAATCGGGCTGCGAACCTTAAGGTCAGCTGTTTGAAACTACCAGCCGCTCCGCGGGAGAA